GACAAACTTGAGAACTATTATATGCTTTCTAATCTATTCTCTGGTGTCCTCTTCTGGAAAATGATTTCATATCCTTGCTGGGTTTTTTGTTTGTTTGTTTGTTTGTTTGTCTCTTCCTCAATCATTGCTTGTCTGTTCAAATTTACTACAGACTGATAGCTGAGAGTTGGTATGAGGAAGTGAGGGCGCTGTAGCATACCTCTCATACTAGACATTCTCTGCTTCTTCGAATAAGTAAGGGAAATAGGGGGTGATCTCTAGCTTTAAGATAGGCAGATCTTTCTATAGACTACCAGAGGCCAGATCCTGAGCTGCCTGAGAGAAATGCTGATGAACCCAAGACCAGTGAGGACTGTTTGAGTAGTTCCTTTGAATAGAGATGAAAGTTAAAGAAAACTCATTAAATTGAATGGTGTCCTCTGCCTCCTTTAGGCAAGTGATTAAGATCCATCCAGTGTAGGCCATTTTTTGTTTAATAGTAGCTACTTAAATTTAAGGCAGTGGTGGCTGAGCTTAGGCCTGCAGCTTGTCAGCCAGCACACCAATACCAGAACAGAGGAGAGGGCCCACTTACCCGTTGGTAGACCCTATCTGATACTGGGCTGTCAGCTTTGTCCCTACTGTTCATACTGTGACTGACCCACTGTCTCCCTGTGCTCACCTCTCCTCCCACTTTTGCTTTGGACCAGGGAGTTTCTTCCCCTTGTAGCAGAAATCTCTTCGTTCCCAGCATCCCTTCATTGCTATGGACTTCTTAGCAATCCTTGTATCTGACTTATAGCTAAGCTTGTCCTCAGCAGTCTCGTGATGGCTTTCTCTAGCCTGGCTCACCCCCTAGCCTGTCTGTGTTGCTTTACCCACAGTGCAGTGGGGATCTTTGGTCCTCCAAGCTAGAAGTGAATGGTTTTCTAATCCAGGCTGGGCTAGCTTCTACAAGGAGATGCTAACTAAAGATTGGTGCTCAGTGCTCTGTGCTGGTGCTCTGTAAGGTGTGACCATTGCTGGAGAGAAAGTCTCATAGCCTTCTGGCAAGGTTTTTGGAGCAGTGGTTGGAGCAGAGCAGTTGCTTCCTAAAGGTCTATCTTCCCTCAGTGGGGCTGCCGCCTTTTGAGTTTTATCAGAAATGAAGGGAATCATCTCAAGGTTGTAGATGAGTCACTATCTTGGATTGCTTACCCTCTTTAGTTTCCAAGTTTTTGAAGTGAATTGCCTATTTCTTTGATTGGGTTAGCAGCCCCAGGGCCAATTCCCAGCCACTCTCCTCTCCCCATCCTTCCAGACCACTGTCTGCCCTCCAGGGCCAAGGGCAGCATACATGTTGCTTGGCCACATCCTGCAGCCTGCAAATTGGACAGATGGAATCAATACTCATGAACCTGGAGAGGCCCAGGTAGCACAGTTAGTGACACTAGCTGCCTGAAGGGACAGTCTGCCATGAGAAGGGGGTGTGATTGAATAGTGATTGGACACAGCAGCTGAGGATTAACCAAATTATGTCTCTTTGAATTTAGATTGACAAACCCTTCTCATTTGAACTTGAAAACATGTCAACTTGTGCAGACTGTAGAAGAACTGGCTACCTAGTCTAGGGCTGTGCCGGCATACATCCTGGGAGTGGTCAGTTCAGGCCCAGATTCAAGTTATTGTTAGGATAGTGCCAACCAAGAGAATAGGCTCATGTATAAGCAGCTTCTTCCACATACCTGTAGGCACTATAGAGTTTCCTTCCCTCGTAGTCTGCTAGGAAGCCTTGTGATCTCTGTCTTTCTGGTAAGGAAGAGGAGGCTCGAGGTCAAGTGCCTTGTCCAAGACACCATCTGTAAAAGACAGAACTGCATTTGGATTCTAGGTCCCCATGCATGTTAGAAAGTGTCATGCTATCTACTCAGTTTAAGTGTTTTAGCTCATAAGCCCAATGACTTGTGTTCCATCCTTGGATCCTACATGGTGGATAACTGACTCCTGAAAGTTGTTGTCTGGCCTCCATGTGATGCTGTGACACATACAGCTGCACACACAAACACAAATAAATAAAGAAATTTAAATTTATAAATGGTAATTTCCTAATTTTGGAACTTGCTGCAACTATTAGTTATCATCCTACAGTTTTCCCAGCCAGGGGTGGCATACTTGTAATCTTAGTTCTCATAAAGTAGAGGCAGCAGACACAGCAATTCTAGACCAGTCTTGGCTATATAGCAAGTCAAAGGCTAGCCTGGGCTTCAAAAAAAAACCTTGGTTCAACCCTGTTAGCAGAGATGTGGGTGAGCCAGCCCTAAAGTTGTAAGCATGGGACAGATGTTCCCATTCCTCATCTGTCTTATGGCAGCATGGACGGATGGGAGTGCCCTTCCCCCCAGCCCATCAATGTCTAAGGCACATGGGAGAACTGGGCCTTTGGTCATAAAAGTGGAAGAGCCACCCTGAGCCCCACCAGTTGGGACACTCAGGAGAGCAGGCCTTGCATCTCACTGGAGCAACACAATAGAGCTATCCCTGTTAGTGCAGGTGTGGGTGAGCCAGCCCTGAAGTTGTAAACATGGGAGAGCTGTCCCCATTTCTCATCTGGGGGCAACCGTACAGCTGCCCAGGCCCAGAACCAGGATTATGACTCGGCCCACCCCAGCATCCACCCTATCTATGATCTGCTGGAGCACATGAAGGGATCTGACACACAAACCCAAAGCTACAGGATCTCCAAGAATCCCAGTGAGAACCCAGCATCATAGTGTAGTAGCAACCAGAGGCCTCAAACCAGACCAACTACTATTTGCAATCAACACTTGCAAGTAAAGCTATACGGACAAAGGGTTTATGGCATGACTCACTGTGTCACACTGCAGCTTCCATGATGAGATTTTTAATTTCCCCCTCTTGAATTTTTTTCCGTTTTTCCCTTAAATTTTGTTTTATTGGGGGGGGTGCAGGGGCGGAGGGTAGATGCAAAGGGATAGGGAAATGAATAGGATCAAGATACATGATATAAAAGACACATAGAATAAATTAAAAAAGAAAAAGGCATTATTTCAAAAATAAAAGATTGCCTTTTTTTTTTTGAAACAATATCTCATACTTAGACTAGCCTCAAATTTCTTGAAATCATCCTGCCTAAGCCTCCCCACTGTTGAGTTTACTGCCATGTGCATTGTTTGTATCCCTTAGTAGCCTTGAACACATTGTGTAGCTGAGGTCTGAGGATGATCTTGACTCTGTAGCCTCCGAGTGCTAGAATTAAATATGGACTCATAGCACTGCATCTTATTTGATGGATTCTTACAACTCTTGTATAGACATAAAAATATTGTAAGCTCTACTTATCTGATAACGCTTTTACTCACCAGTGTTTGTACTTTCAATCTACAATTAAAACTCTGTCTCATTTCCTAATTTTACCATTATTGTCACTACTCATGTAATCATGCCCAGATTGTCCCAGATTTTACTTAACCAGACGTTGTACCAGTTGAAGATAACAATGTGCAAACCAGGTGATACATGGAAAAGCCAGCAGCACTGTTGGCTGCAAATACTGAAAAACCAAAAGAAAACTGAAACTAAAGTCTGGCTTTTCGATAGTTCTGATAGTCCCAGGTATTTGTTTGACACACCTGCCATTTATGCCTTTCGAAGTGTTAATGGTTTTGAAAGATCAGTTCAGAAAAAGTAAAAAATTACCTTTCAAAAGGAGAAGATCTGGCAAAGGACACTGATAAGGAAATCATGAAACAGGGGACAGAGAACTATTACACCGAGTTTTTAGAAATTCAGCTTGGCTAGGAATCAGAGAAATGAAAGTTGGAGTAGCAGTTTGGCTCCATGATCTGATCTGAAAAAGAAAGAAGAAAGAAAAAAAAAGTCTGAGGTAGAGAAGGCAGAGTTATTGCGTGCTTCATACTTGGCTAGTGAAAATAAAAATTAGTCCTACCTCTGAAAGGCAGCTTAATAATATTTATCAAAGTCCTTTGAAGTGTGTATCCTAGTGTTTTTGGTGCCATATGCTTGCGAGATAAGTACTCAAGCTGAGGCAGGAGGATCGTCACAAGTTTTAAGGATAGCCAAGGTTACATAACAAGTCCTTGTCTCGGTGGGGAGAAGAAAGAGCTCCTTATACTTTCTCCTAGAAGTGTATTTTCTAGTAATTTGCTTATCATCAAAATATTGGAGATACTCTCTTTTACAATAAAAGATTGATTAGAAGAAAGAATAACTAGTTGTGGTGGATACTTTTAATCACAGCACTACAGAGGCAGAAACAGGAGGATCCTGTGAGGTAAGGCTAGCCTGGTCTACATAGCTAATTATAGGACAGCCAGGATGACAGAGATCCTGTCCCAAAAATCTAAAACAAAGCAAACACAGAATAATCTTATGATAAAATATTCTACAACTATGACAAATGATGTTTCTGACCTGCATGAAAAGGGGTACATGCACTTAGAATTTGTGTATGACCCAGTTACTATAAATTATATATGTGTTTCCTTAAAAAAAAAAAAAAGTTAAATATGCTGTGTTCTAAGACATTTCACTTGTAGTGTGCTGTCCTTCATAATGCACATGTACTTCTCGTGTTAACCCATGTCACCCTTCTAGTGCACGTGTATTTCCCATCCCAACCCATGTCACACTTTGCTGTAATGTTTCCCCATGCTTCAGAAGATTTATTCCTAGGTGTTTTTATTAATTAAAATTGTTTTTAGGCAATTTTTTATAAATATGTAATATATTGGTCCTCTCAGCCTTCACCCCCTCTCTTCTCCCTGTCACCCTTGTTCTCACTCCTTCCCCAATTTCAACACAATTTCAACATCAATGTCTATTTATATTACTTTGGTGTAAAGGTACACTTGCTTCCTTCCCTGGAGTCTGTAAGTTCCATGTCTAGCCCATAGACAAGTGAGTAGAATGTAGTGGGCATTTGATAAGTTGTTTTTGAATGATTTGTCTGTCTTATAGCTGTGAAGACCAGACCTAAGACCTGCTTTTCTAATTGCTTCCAGTGTGGTGCAGGTCCTGCTTGCTGCTGGAGCTGATCCAAACCTTGGGGATGACTTCAGCAGTGTCTACAAGACTGCTAAGGAGCAGGGAGTCCATTCCTTGGAAGGTAAGGTCTGGCTACCCTACTGCTCTGGGTGCCTCCACTTGTGGCCTCCACAGGCTTTGCTTAGTGTCAGTGGCTACTCAAGGGTATCTCAAAGGGGCTTAGAAGAGATGCCTCCCGCGGTTCCTTTCACCACTTTGAAAGTGTTGGGGGGAAGAGATTTTGGAGCCTGAGTTCATGGCCTAATTGAGGTGGGGATATTTCACCTGGTCTTCTGAGACTGGGAGCCTCAGAGGGGAAAGCAGTGGAACAGATTTCAATGAAATGGTTGAGGATACTGCATGGAATGTGGGCTTGCTCCTTTCACTTCCTACAGGCTCACCTGCCCCAATACTAGACATACTGTCGTGATCCCCTTAGCCATAGACCTTTCCAAGTACTGTGAATATTGTTTTTTCAATGTGCGGTCTGATCTCTAGGACTGGCCCTTTGCTTTGCTGTGACCTAGGGCAAGGAACAGATCTTTGTGCTTTGTTCTGAGAGCTGTAAAAGTGGGCGTGTTGTTAATACCTTGTGGGTGTGGGTTTGATTATCGGATTGCAGAAGAGGTGTTATGGCACCTGTCTGTTGGAGTGAACCTGGTCAAAATCAGTCTGTTGTCTCTGGTTAGTAGTCCTTCAAAAATGAAATTGAGAAGAATGTGGGTCTGCACTGGCTGCAGACAAATGTATATTTTATATCTGAGCTTTTTTTTTTTTTTTTTTTTTTTTTTCCTGTGCAAACTGTGCCGCCTCCTGCCCATTGTCAGCTATCACCCAGACAGACTGCTATTCCTCTGAGATTTGGTGACAGGACAACTTGTAGCAGTGGTTGCTTTAGAATCAGTACTAGTAAGAGCAGGACAGTAGCCCTGCTGATTGCCTTAAAAGTCAGCACTTGAATCCTGGAGGAGAATCGACAGAGAGACTCTGCATGCAGCTCTCTGAACAGCTCCATGGTGGCCCAGTGCAGAGGTTTTGTTGCTGCCCCAGGGAGAAAGTTTCTCAGATCAGTGGCATGAGGGGAGTACCCAAGAGCATCAGGGCACTTTGCCCATGTGGATGGAGTGTGAAGTTACCCTGCCCTCAGCTGCTCTTCTGAATGCTCCTTAAATCTTGGCCTCTTCTGCAGTTATTTGAACTCGTGCCTGCCCATATGTCTTTTCTTTCCTTCCCAGCTGACAGTTCCTTGTGTAGATCATGACCTGTGCTTCTATGAGTTCCCCTGAGCTGAAAGGGTGCTTACGTTATACTTCCAACAGATGAGAAGTTCAAGAGTACCAAACTTGCCATATATTTGCTGCTTAAAATGGACTCAGCTGATGGTCTATCTCCTGTCACTCAAACACAGCTTCCTCCTTGAGTCTACCAACTGTTCGAGTGCTCTCACCAGAAAGCAGAGACTCTGTCAGATGGTGGGGCCAAGGAGTGGGAATTCTTTGAATGCCTTCTCTTCTGCTCTGAGAATTTTAGCACATTTTGCAGAATCACAGTCCAGCTTTTGCTCTCAGCCTGATGGCTTTGTGTTCTAATGTTTCTCTGTAAGTTGATGTTCAGATTCATTCTAGATCAATGCAATAATGGTCAACAGTTTTTGTTTTTGTTTTGTTTTTCTGGGAATAGCCAAATTGTATAAATTTCTACTTAATGGACCATTTGGTGTGACTACTCAGCCTCACTCTTCAGTACTGAAGCAACCATGATGGTGCCTGAACAGACTTTGCTCATTTATTCATTTGACCAGCTTCCCTGAGTTCTTTTTAACTCTAATGGCATCCAGCCCTCGTTGCAAGTAGACAAATAAGTAGGTAGACAGATGATAAAACTATTAGGAAAGGCTGCCATGAAAGAAAGATAAAATACAGTGGGCTTTCTATAGAGTCAGTATTTATTCAAAACTACTTACTGATCACATTTCTGTGTGCTAGCACTTTTCTAGGCAGACATACTCCCTACCATCATGTACTTTTTAGATCAAATGACCATAAGGCCATTGATGATTGGGTCCTCCAGCGTGTGACAAGGCAGTTTTGATGTATTGTCAATACCCACAACTGTATCAAGTCCCTTCTTTCCCATCCTCTATTTCTTTATTTTATCTACAAATTGAGAGACTTTTTTCTACCATTTGTTGTTAAAATAAAAAATGTGTCCCACATACATTTTCTTTCTTTATCCTAATGACCTTTGCTTACTCCTGCACATTAAGGACATGTTTTTAGGGAACCACTAGATTTTCAGTAATCATCAAAGTGTTTAAGAAGCTTTTTAAAGGATGCATCCTAGGGCCAGGCATGGTGGTACACACCTTTAGTCCCAGCACTTGGGAGGCAGAAGCAGTTGGATTTTTGAGTTCATTGCCAGCCTGGTCTACAGAGTGAGCTCCAGGACAGCCAGGGCTACACAGAGAAGCCCTGTCTCAAACAAACAAACAAATACATCCTAGGACTGGAAATACTGCTCAGTGGTAGGGTACTTGCTCGTAGGCATGAAGGCCTGAGTTTAGTCCTCAGCACTGTTTTTTTGTTTTTGTTTTTAATTGTAGAATTTTGTTAGGAATCATTAGTAAACTCAGTACTGGTAGCTTTTATAAAATCCCCTCCCCTTCATTGACTGCCTTTGTCACAGTTTATTTTCCTAGGTATATCTGTTTAGATGTATTTTGTTCTCTGTTTTCTGGCTGCGACTAGGATGATGACAGTTCGTGTATGTCATCTCAGGGTTCTTCTTCAGCTGCAGGTTAATTGTAAGGGTGGCCCGTGTTTTAGATCACATGTCAGGTTCCAGTATCAAAAGGTTGGATGCCCCTGAATCCTTTGCCATCTTCTTCACCATGTTTTCACACCTTTCTCTATTCAAAGATTCCTTGTCTTTTCATCCTTCTGTTAGTCTAGCTCTGGGTCATCCTCATGGGTGAGATACAAGCGTAAGATCCCTGTGGTTCATTGTTTTCTTTTGACTGTGTATCTGTGTGTCTGGGAGATGTGAGGGGAAGAATTTAGAAGAATGAGTCTCAGTATCACAGAAAAGCCACAGGCTTAAGGCAACTAGACAGTCCTTGCTGTCAGAGCAGAGTCAGGACCAAAGTTCACTATATGTTATAATTGTTATTTCTGTTGGTCTCAACCTATCCTTGGTACTGAGGGAAGATGGTGGATTGTAATTTGTAACCTTGGCCCAATTTCCCTAACCCCAATAATATACCCTTTGTCTGCCTGTCAGTATCTCTGTGTTGATCAAGATATAAAATAATGTGTTGTGTGAATTACAAAGTTCTCTATAGTTATAATTGCTTATTAGTTCCATTTATTTATAATTCAGCTTGCTTTTACTGCATGTCGGGCCCTCTGCCAGATGCTGGGAATATCTAAATGGATATACATAGTCTGGCCCCTTGGCAGTGCTCTTAGCCAAATAAGATGGACCTCAACAAAGAGTCACATTACAGACTAGTAAAGGCAAAGGTAGTTAACTTTATGAAAAATATAAGTTGCACAGAATGAGGAACTGATGGCCTTTTTTCAAAGATCAGGCTATGTCTTAGACATGTCATTGGGTGAGTGACTCTGAATTGGGTCTTAAGGGTGAGTTGGAGATTGTCAGGTTGTCTAAGAAAAACCATCCAGCAAGGAAACCAAAAGATAGGGGACATTATTTTGTATCTACACTGCTTGCCCAGAACACACACTGCCAGAGGAGGTCTTTGCTGTCCTAGCTGAGGTCCATGCCAGTATGGCTCCTTGAGGAAGCCTGCGTAGCCAGGTACATTGCAAACTCGTGCCCTCATATCAAGGTTGGTGTTTTGGGGTTATGTTGGGCTTGTTAGCACAGCTGACCCAGGAGTACTTGGTATGGAAATCTCCTTGTTATTGTTGCTATTCTCTGCAGCCCTCAGAGTGGTGTCTTCAGAGTCATAATAATGTCCTGATAAAAAGCTCAGGAGATCCTACCAGGCAGCCCAGCCGGGGTCCATCTAAGCCCTGTCACTGACTGTGTAATCCTGGCAAGTGACATAAAGTCCTGGACTTTCAGACTTTTCTGTAATACAGGGATAGCAGTACCCAAACAGTAACCATATGTATGTAAAAGTCAGTGAAGTTCCTCTGTGAAGGTAGGTTTGGGCTGAGTATAAGTCAGATCAGCTGTTTAGGAAGTAGTAAGCAATATACTAAGGAGTACAAACAGGTTGGTTGTCTGCCCACCAAGGCTTTCTTAGGAGATTCTTGCCATGGGTCACTGAGTTATATGGGCCAATGGTCTCCGTAACTGTATGATTTCTATGGTTCTGAATACTCAGCTACACATAGAACAAGTAATAAGCTCAGAGGAAGGGGGATTTGAGCTGCTTCAGGGTTGAAAGGAAGGGGGAAGGGAATACATTTGGAAATACATTCTAAGAAAGGGACACAGATGGGACAAATATGACAGGCAGGTGGGATTATAGCTGTTCCTCTGCCAGCTCATTTCCTGTCTTAACCACATTCCTTTCAGAGCCCCAGCCTACCTGCTTACTCTAGGAGACTTCCACTTGTGGCTGGGCAGTGGGCTGCGATCCTCAGGTGGAGGAGACATTAAATTAGTGGTAACACTAAACAAGTCAGCCAGCCGTGGATGCCGCGGGCTGCTTATAAGTAATGGTTATAAACATTCAGTGTCTGGTGCTGTCAGAAATGCAAGCGAGCACTCCAAGTGCCTCTCATATGTACAATTAAAACAATAAAACATGGTAGAAACGTGGCCCGAACAGGCTATAAGTCAGGTTCTCTTCTCAGCTCCAAGTGGCAGCTGAATAAAGATGAGTCCTGAAGAACTGGGTTGGCATAGGGTTCTTCTAGGGTAAAGGCTTGTCATACTGGCCCTACCAGAGCCAAGCTCTCCCACCCAAGAACCCCTTCCCATGGGGGGACAGGTCCTGGCCTGCTCCAGCTGACCTCCCCATCTCTTGCCTTCAGATGGGGGACAAGACTGTGCAAGCTGGCGCATCACAAACCAGTGGACAAGTGCCCTGGAGTTCAGGAGGTGGCTAGGAGTCCCTGCTGGCGGTAATGGAACTGCTCTCTATACTACAATAGTTCTTTTTGTCCCCAAACCATGCTAGGTGTGGTCTCACCCATTCCATAAGCACCCGGTGTATAAGTTAAGCACCATGTGCCCAACCAAGCCTTCCCTGGCATAACAGAGAATGCATGACCCCTGAGAATCCAGACTATGGGAATACAGAGACTCCCAGGGGAGAGCTTTGGTCTTACCCTGAGACTTGTCTCTGCATGTATGCCAGTCTCTCTCCCCCTCCCATGAATAGCACAATCTAGATTATAGGTGTTACTTGTAGTCTAATGCTTAGATTTCCTTAAGAACACATCTTGGCTTTGTTGTCCCTAGAGAAGAGACCTTAGGTTGCCACTCTCGTCTTCACTCATAGATGAGCTTAAGTCATGGTGGGTTTGTAGAGCACTTAGTAACTGTGACACCTGGAGCAGTTCCATAGACTTCTCAGAAGCTTACCTTCTTAATTTGTAAAATAAAAGTGAGTACCTCTGTTTGTACCTCTTCATGATCATTAGTCTCATTGTGTTCATAGGAAACTATAGGGTCTTTGACCCATTGTCCTTAAAGAGCCAAATATTAATTTGAGTCTAAGAAATGGATTGTCTGTTATTTAATGATGTGATCCTGGGCAGTTCATCCTGTTTTCTGTGCTGGTTTTCTCATCTATAGAGAATATTTTTCATACTACATATTCGTTATAAGACTCATTTGATTGCTGGTATGGTGTTGCATGCCTATAATCCCAGCACTCAGGAGGCCAAGGCAGAAAGAATGAAAGTTTAAGGCCAGCCTGAGCTACATCGTAAGACCCTGTGCTCCCAACCCCAGGGGAGAAAATCAGTTACATACTTATGAAAGCACTTGAGAAGAAAAACAAAATATCATGCAAGTATAATGTGCTAAGAATGGCAGCTAATAATAATAAGGATTAAATACAACCAAGACCACACTTCCCAGGGTCCATTCACAAGTAGAGATCACAGCAGAGCTCAGAGCAAAGAATGTCGAGCTGAAGCAGTCAAGGAAATAAAATCAGCCTTAATTCTCAAAGTCTAGGAAGATTTGAGGCAACTGCCAGAGGACAGAGAGGTGGGTACAGATAAGTGTGAGGGCAGCAGGGATGTGCCATGTCCAGAACTCTCAGAGGTGTGGAATAGAGAAGACCTGCTTCAGGCTGGAGAATGAACATGTTCAGGTACACCATCCCTGTAGCAAATGATCTCCTTTCAGGGAGTGGTGAGCCATAGCAACGTAGCATTAGTAGACAAGACCACATCAAGACACCAGGATTTTATCATCAAATGAGAGGCTTCTCCAAAGTAGAGGGGGCTTCAGGAACTGACTGCTGGGAGGGTGTGATAATGAGGTCACACCATGTCAATAGCTCAGGCAGCAGCAGGTAACATTTATTGATCTTGTGTTCAACATTGTGTGCTCATTAAAGGAGACTAAGGCAAAAACAGTGATGTCCAAGGACTGAAGAGATGCCCCAGCAGTTAAGATCTCTTACTGCTCCTTTAGAGAACTAGAATTTGGTTCCCAGCACTTACATCAAGTACATAACTATCTATAACTCTAGCCTCCCTCTTCTGACCTCTGAGGCTAAATATGTGTGCCAGCATTCGATAGCCAATGCCAACAAAAGTGTTTCCTTCCCTAGTATAGAACTCAGAGACCATACCAGACTACATGTGCCTCTCACTGAATGTGCCAAGACCTCTGGCTTCTCTAGAGGCTTGGGAAACCAGCCGCCTAAAAGCTCTTAGGCAAGTTGTTTTTATTAATGCCCTGATTCTTCTTCATCCTTGTCCAGGTCCACTCAAGAGTCTCATTGCCCCTCCAGGGCCAGTAGTTCTGTAAGCCATTTCTCAGCACTGCCACAGAATCAGCAGGGTGGACAGAGATCTGTCACTCCATCAGGCATTTTGGCCAACTTCAAGATGAAATGTATTAGCCAGTTAGGTTAATTGTTTCTATACTTTTCACCCTCTAAACCTACATAGAAATATATGTCTTTCTCTCTTAGGAGAAAGAGAGAGTAGTTGACATGTTTTATTAAAAAGAATAAATTCAATGCATTTATAAAAATAAGAAAAAAGTATGATGGGGTGGCAAAGATCTAGTCTTGTGATTTTTAACTGATTTACATATTTTGTGTATAAATATTTTTTCATCAAAAGTTCCAAATCAGGGTTGGGTCCCACACACCACACAAAATATATTAGAGACATTTATATGGATAGCAGGAAGGGAGACAGAGGGCTGAAATTTTCCAGGCACCCAGTGATTGATGGGGGCTGAGGCTCCCCCTGACGCTTTATTGAGTTTCCGATGATTATCTCTCGCTGAGACATTTTTTACAGATGACGGTCGAGCTGTCACAATGGACCATGGGGGAAAAAAAACCAACAATAATAACACTTTAATCTTTTTACTGCACTGCTCCCTAGTATCTCAGATTCATCTTCTCTGACGCACGCAGTTCATTATTCTGCCCCTCCCTGGATGGGAAATAAAGGAAAATAAATATATATGTAGACACGCTTATCCACATGCATACACACAACACAGAGTATATAAAAGAGACCACCTCAGAACCAGAGAGGGGCAGAATTTATTGTTCTTTTTGCAAGTGTTGAGGTTTATTAGTAGAGATGCTTGGTTGGCTTGGAATTGGCTATTAATTACAGCGTTTTGTATTTGTTTTTTATTGCAAGTTTTTAACATCTTGAAGAAAAGGCAGAGGAGAGGCAAGCAGGTGCAGAGACGGGTATCACTGAGGGACCAAGTTGGGCCAGCCAGGTTGTATAGCTGCTGAGAAGCAGGCTTCTTGCTCTTGCTGCCAGCTTGTCCCTGAAGATATCTGGAGCTGAAAGGATGTGCCTTAGTTAGGAAGGGAAAGGATGAATGTGGGGTAATTATTGAGCAAAGCAAAGGGGTCCGGAGACCACCAAGCACCATGCTACTCTAGGAATCAGGCAAGGTGTGAGGAGCAGTGTTTGGGTTTTGATACATATCTGTAACGAACTCACAGGAGTTCACCCCCTTTTTACATTTGATGATGGGAAGGTGTGACATGGTTCTGAAAAGCCTCACCTGGCTCTCTGGTAAAGGAGTCCTGGGCTAAGGAGGACTCTAGGCTGAGTCAATAAGCAGTCTTAAGTTTCTTGCCAGCCTCCCTGTCCTCCTTGTCATGGGATTAGAAGAGATGAGCTGTGCTTCCTGTCAGAAGGCTGCTGGCCCAGTCTTTCCTTTAAACTGTCACACCTTTTCTGAGCCTGTGTGTGGGAGCTCCCTTGTTATACTTGGTGATGGGCCAAGAAGGATCCTGTTCCTAAGGAGTCCATGAACAGAGAGCATGGTACCCGTGACAGCCATTTTTGAGTGGAGGCTGGACCTGAAGCCAGCCTCAGCCACCATGGGCTCATACATTCTACAAAGGATAAAGCTGATAACAATATCCATACTTCAAGAACCTAGTTCTGCTTAGGAAAACAAGCTTAACATCTCACTAAAGTATTTATTGAGCGCTTGCCATGTTTAAGAATGTGTGCATGAAACTGTGTAAGAATATACAAGCTCATGCAGAAGAACATGTTTGGTGTGAACTAGACATTATTAGAATGCATAGAGGAAAGGAGGTTATGACCTCAGGCTGATTATTCATAAAGTGTGAGTCCACTATAAGTAAATAAAAGGCCAGAGGGAAGTCATAGTCACACAAAAAAAAGACAAGTATCTGAGCTGGACAGATAATCGTTGCCTGATGATGCCACTTTAAACCATCTGCATGATCTGAGACTAGCATCTTCATTTATTAAATGGCAGCCTAGTGCATTCGTGTGAGGAAACTAGTTGATTAAGTGCCTGGCCTGATCTCTAATACATAGAGTGCAAAAAATAGAAGTGGAGTGACCCTCCACTGAATATTTTCAGCATTTTCTAGCATTAGTATTAGGGATGGTTCCAGCAGGCAGGATGGCATCAGAAGAAAGAACATGATATAAACTTATCACTTGTTGACTCTTTCCTGAATGCCAGATAATATGCCCAGCTTCCTACAGACACTTTTATTTTTGAGATAGGAACTCAGACTGGCCTTGAACTCCCAAGCCTCTTGCCTTTGCAAAGTGCTGAGATTACTGGCCATGTGCCACGACACGTGGCAATCACTTTAATTCTTTTTTTTTTTTTTTTTTTTTTTTTGGCTTATACTTTTAAAGATAACTGTTTATTGAATTTAATTCACATATAGTGAAGTTAACCATGTGAAATATATATCTTAGTGATTTATTCTTATTCACAAGAGTTATACAGCCATCACCCAAATCCATTTTAGAACATTTTCATCACATCATAGAAAAGCCTCATCCACATTATCAGTTATTCTCCATTTTCTGGCAAGTCCCTGACAACTCATAATCTACCTTGTCTCTATAGATTGCCTAAAATGGACATTTCTGTGTGCGTAGAACTGTGTGCCATAAGGTCATTTGTGACTGACTTCTTTTTCTTAGCATTTACTTAGCATTTCATACATATTGTGGCAAATACCATTATTTCATTCCTTTTTATGACTGAATAGCATTCTATTACATATTGTTTATCTATTCACCAGTTGATGGGTGTTATATTGTTTATACCTTTGGGTTTTTATGAATACATGGCCATAAATATTTGTGTACTCTTAGGGCTGGAGAGATGGATGGCTCAGTGGTTGAGAATACTGGCTGCTCTTTCAGAGGACCCAAGTTCAATTTCCAGCACCCACATGGCAGCTCACTACTATAACTCCAGTTCCAGAAGATATGACACCCTCATACATACATACACACAGGAAAAAACACCAATGCACATAAAATACATAAATATTAAAAAATTTGTATACTTTAAATATTTTTTTGTTTTTAAATTTAAGATAGGATCTGCTGTTGGAGTCCTGGCTGGTCTGGAACTCACTATGTACATTAGACTGGCCTTGCACTCAGATGTG